AATGGACACAGTAAATACATTAGCACACGGGCTTTTGACTGGGAACGGGAGACATGTATCTGCTAAGGATGTACAAATCAAACATGTAACTCATGTATAGTATAAATATCAGTGCCATTTGGAAAATCAAATATGGCTGGAATCCCTGAGGAAGGAGCATTTGGTCAGGCTAATCTATTTTGGAATGGCTCACTCCTGCTGCTAAAAGACTAGGTCAAACTGCTGTTGAAAGGTGCAGTAGGCAAAGAGTTTGCCACCATCTTTCAAAAACTTTCCCATCATGTCATGTCCTACTTACCAGTGACTAGATACCAAAGTGCTTGTCAAGGAGCCTTCCTTTCATCTCTTGTCCCCGGGTTCTTGTCACACAGACAGAAAGCAGAAGACTAGAAGTCTAATGTGCAGGTGATGCAATGTTTATTGGGGATGGTTCCAAGCAAGCATAGCCATCACTCTATATGCCAGTAGAGTCTGTTTCCTGAGTTTCATTCCTAGTGCTGATCCTGCAAAGCCTTTACCCATGTCCCCATTTCCACTTCTCCCTTCTTAGCAGGGCCCAATATACCTGTGGCTATGTCTACACTGGCATGATCTTGTGCAAAAACTCTTCCAGAAGAGAGCGTCTACACTAGCATGTGCTTTTCGCAAGAGATGTGCTTTTGCGCAAGAGCATCCATGTCAGTATAGATGCTCTCTTGCGCAAGAAAGCTCTGATGGCCATTTTAACCAGAGGGCTTTCTTGCGCAAGAAATTCATGTTGGCTGTCTACACTGGCCTCTTGCACAAGAACAGTTGCACAAGAGGGCTTATTTCTGAGTGGGAGCATCAGAGTTCTTGCGCAAGAAGCACCGATTTCATACATTAGAACGTCAGTGTGCTTGCGCAAGAACTCACGGCCAGTGTAGACAGGCAGCAAATTTTTGCGCAAAAGCAGTTGCTTTTGCGCAAGATTGCACCAATGTGTAGACAGCCGCAGTGCACAAGCCTGCTCCTGCCCCTTGCAATTCATGGGCATGTCCATTTTGGAGGACATTTGTGTGGCAACCTGGTACCACCTCTTTTGTATCTCATGTTAGGAATAAGGTTATGCACTGACCAAGGCCAGGCTGTTCTTTGGCTTTTCATGTTTCTTATGCCTCTGTTCCCTTCCCTTCCCAAACTGTTGCTTGACTTTGGCTCGAGAGAGAAGCCAGGCAGCCTTCCAGTATATGCTCATCTATTAAACTACCATACCCATTAATGCTTTTAATTCTATCCCTTATCTTTTCTCATTATACTAATAAACCCATCTGGTGGGGCAGAAGCAACACACAGTGCCTCGGTTCTTTGTTCACACATTAGCAAGGATGTACGAGTATCCAAAATCAAACCCAAAATCCTGTCTCGGGCTAACAAACAGGCCTATATACTAACAGTGCCCACTAGGGAAATTTTGACAGTTTCTAACTATTTTGGTGCCTGCCATAAGATGCCAAGGTCAGCCCTAGGGTAAACAAGTGTAAAACTTGGCTTTATCGGATGACATTTGCAGTCACTAACACCAGAATGGAACTGAGAAGCTTGTGTGTGTGAGATTGTTCCTTCCTACTTCACTACTTTCTATAGCTTCCATTCTCCTCCTCTTTTAGCATTTTTGTAGCCCAGATTATACGTCTGGCAAGTTTCCTTAAGACAGAAAATACAAGCGTGTGATTTTAACCAGATAGCTGACAATTCAGATCAGACCTTTGGTGGGAATAAGAGCATAACAGATTAGACCCGTCTTTATTTATCAGTTGTGAGCATATGCCTAGCCAGTAAGGATACATGTCTGCATGGCGACGACTCGGTTCCCTCTGAACATGCAGGGTCAGGCGCTAAGGACTCACTCTTTGTAATATAGATTGTAGGATGAAGAACACACTGATGTGCTAGCTAGTCCATGTAAAAATATGCTTTTATTACTGTTATTTCGTCCTACACTCAGGCCTGCTGATAGGCAAAGGGGGCAACTGCCCTGGGGCCTGGAGATTCAAATGGTCCAGAGCTCCAGGCTGCTGCCACTGAGGCAGCAGTTAAGGTTGGAGCCCTGGGTCCTTTAAATTGCTACTGGAGCCCCATGTGCTGCACTCCAGGCATTGCTAAGGGCAGCTAGCCCCTGCCTTGCCCTTTCTGCCTGAGGCCCTGCCCCACCCCACCCCCAGACTTGCCCAGGGGCCCGGCAGCTCTATCAGCCTGGTCTCTATTCTCCCCACACACTTTTTGTTTTTGACCTACCTTGGATGTCTTGTTTTATGAACCCCCAAACAAGTGTGTGGCTATAGGTGTCGGTGTGATTACTGATGCGCTTCAAGTTACACATGGGCTTAAATACTGGGGGTAGGGACCAGAGATGTAAAATCCCACTTAACTGTTTCACCAGTTAAGCGCTTAACTTGGATCCTGCACTGGGGGAGGGGAGTGGTCTGCCCAGGCTGGAGAAGTCCCCGATCCACACCACAGTGGACTCAGCTAAGCTGGAGTGGACCCCTGCCCATGCTTCCCAGTGAGGTCCATAGTGCCATGGGCTGCTCTGGTCAGGCTGGGCCTACCGCCCTGCAGGTGGGGAGCTGTTCTGGCCAGGCTGGAGTGCCCACAGAGTGGTGCAGTGGGTCTGGCTGGGCTGCAGCAGCCCCCTGCCGGTTAACCAGTTACCGGTAAGCATCATGCGATAAGGGTGATGTTTACCGGTTAAATCCCTAGTAGGGACTGTCTTATTATTTGCCTGTCCAATGCCTGTCACAAAGAGGTTAAACATAATATTTAAGCTGGTTAGGTTTCTGGGTGGTACTGCAATAATGGTATTAATAATGTCACTTTTAAGGCAAGAGAAATGCCAACAGGGCTGAGCGTGGGAATGACAAAGGAGCACTTTTGATCATTTTAATTTTGCTTTCATGTTTTTTTCCAATCTCCATAGTGAACTCTTTCGACCATGGCAACATTGGCAGGGTCGTGTGAGGACTGTGTTGATTAATGTCAGGTTTCCTGACAGCTGCGGCTGCAAACCCATCCAGGGCTCGAGATGGTTTTGGTTTGAAGGCAAGGCAAAACACTTCCATGAGCATTTTCACTGTATCATCTTGAGATCAGCTGAATCCTGGTCAAGCTCTTTTATTATTATTTATTCTCATTTTATCTTCCCTCTTATTTTGGTCTCTTCTACCCAATCACAGTACAAAGTACAGGTTGGACCTCCCTGGTCCAGTCCTGGATGAGGGATTTCCTGGATCCCCTCCCCACTACTGATGCACACAATCCCGGACAGGCCACTTGCCTCCCAGCTGGCTCTGCCTCCCTGCTGCCAGCCCCACTGCCCTGACGGTCACACTGTCCCCCTCCCACACCCGCCTTCCCTGCTAAGCCAGGCAGCCCAGCTCCTAGCAAACTGGGCTCCTGGCCCTGTCAGTCAGCTCCACTGGTCCTACCGTGTAGCCCAGCTGGGTGGTGCCAGACAGTCCAGCTGCGCGGAGACCAGCCATCACCCTTCCACCAGGAGTCTCTGGTCCTGGAACATCCGTGGTCCTTCCGAACCATGGATGTTGCCATATCAAAGTCCCAGTTTAGAAGCTCAACCTGTAGCTGTATAAAGCTGCTTGGAAGCAAATCAAGACCTCAGAGCAAAGTAGGACAGAACAGCTGTTTAATTGAGTAACCTTTCATGCTTGCATGCTGTAATCATGGCAAGGCAAACAGAAGACAGTCAGTTTAATCTTGTATGGCTTAGAAGATGTGCAGATTTTGAGTCCAAAAAAGCCTTGTCTATATTTTGAGCCTGATACTGATCTTGTTTCACTGGTGTCATTTGGGAGTATTGAAAGCAGTGAAATTACCAGTGTGTATCTAGAGGGTCAAGTCCATTATATATTTATACGCAAAAAATTATAACATTCTTTTAACTATAGCATTCTTTTAATTATAACATTCTGCCTTTTAATTAGGCAAAAGCGCTGCTATTTGGATTTGGATAATAGAGTGACACAGATAGACAATTATCAGAGGGGTAGCCGTGTTAGCTTTTACAGATAGACAATGTGACCATAAGGGTTCTGGATGGGATATTCAAAAGTGTCTTAGGAGCACAAGTCCTTATACCTATCAAATAAGTTAAAGAGACTTAGGCACTTTTGAAAATTCCACATCTGTAAGCTGATATTAAAATTGGTATTAACACCTCAGTTTTAAGAAGTTACAAACTCATGAATCTTAATGCACTTCAGAATAAGATTTGGTAGGTATGAGGCATTTTTATGCTGTATGTATGTAGGCAGCTCACGTAAAACAGGGCTTATTTTATTCATGGGCAACTAAATGTAAGAAACTGACTTATCACCGATAGTAACCTGTTAGTATGGCATTGGGTCTTGTGGATCAAGCCTGCTTCTATGTGGCGGTGGTATTTATGTAACAACACTAAGGCCTTGTCTACACAACCAGGGGCTGTCGACCTCAGTTTTGCAATTTTAGCTAGGTGAATAACGTAGCTCAAGTCGACGTACTTAGGTCTGCTAAGGGATATTTAAAGTATTAAGAGAGAACGTATTCTCGGCCACTTCTGCTGGCATGATGCAGATTCACACAGAAACATACTCTGGAAGGATTTGGGAAATGACAATGTTTTAAAATGGTTGAAGGTCAAAAAATGCCCCAATATCTATCCTTTCTTTTGAATTAGAAGGGGAAGATAGTCTGTGGTTAAGTTACTATGCAGGGATGCAGGAAATTTATAAATTAAATTCCTGACTTTGCCACCAAGTTCTGGAGTTATCTTGGGCAAGTTACTTGATCTCTCTTTACCTTCATTCCCCACCTATAAAATAAAGATAATAATTCTGTTCTCCCATCTTTTATCAGTTGGCTCTATTTAGATTGTATGTTGTTTGGGATAAAGACTTTCACAACTATCTATTAATTAACTTCTATTATTGTTATTTAATCTCATTTTATCTTCCGTCTTATTTTGGTGTTCTTTTCTACCCAAGCACAGGAATTCACCCTCTGTGGCAACTGACATGAAATGGCACTGAACAGTCATCAACATTCATATTCATATTTTGCAAAGCTTTGGTATGATGGAGAAGGTCAGTAGTCAGCCTGTACTTCTGGGTCTTGATAAACACATTGCAGTTTCAGTTTATCATGAAGGACCAGCAGTGGTCATCATTAAAGGCTCTTTGCTACCTCAAAAAGGTCACAATGCTCATAAAGGTCAGTGGAAATCTTTCCATTTACTTCAAGGGGACCTGGGATCAGACCCTGAGGGTACATCTAGACTACAGGCTTTTGTTGACAGAAGTGTCTCAGGCAGCACTGCGAGCTGCAGGTGTGCGGACCCCAGAAAGGGCCAGGCTGCCCCTGGCTCCACTGTTGCCCATGGGACCCCACTGTGGCTGCACGCTACCTTTGCCTGCTTGTCTGTGGGCTGGTTGGTGGGGGTGGGGGAGTGGGCCGCATGGCCCCCTGGGCACCTTGGGGTCCCTGTGCAGGTCACACATGGCCTTGCTCCTGGGACATCCCCTTCCTCTGGCCTGAGGACTGTTGGTCACTGCTCACAGAGGAGGGCACAGCCTCAGGGACAGTATGGATGCATGGATGACTGACCACCTCTCCCTTTTTGTGTTCTCCACAGTCAGGACTGAGGGGTGAGCCACACCACCCATGCCAGCTGCCACAGCCCCGAGGACCCAAAAGTGCTCCAGGGTCCAGGAAGGGTCCAGGAAGACCAAGATCCACGAGGACACTGAGTGGTGGAACCATGCCTGGACCCAGCTCATAAAGCGGTGCAGTACCATGTGTGCTGTCATGAGAGAAATGATGGCACACCTGCTTGATGTCACTCCTCCCTACCACTCTCTTGTCCCCCTGCTATGCCCATTCCCCCTCCATCTGCCCCCCATGCAATGCCTCTGCTCTTTCTCCAAGCAATGCCCATGCCACCTCCCCAAGTGATGCCCATGCCTCCTTCTCCTGCCACCTCTGCCCCTGCTCCAGCTCCTCTCCCCCATGGTCCCTGGACTCTCCCAACCCCAACTCTGAGGTCCCCCGCAGCTGAGGCAGCACATCTAGCCACCCCCCACACCACTCAGAGACCCTCCTCCCCCTACAGGTTATGAGCCCCCCTCTCCCTGCCCACCTTTTTTTAATGAAACTTAAAAACAGACTTCATTGTGTTGAAAAACTAACAGGTGTTTTTATTGAGAGGTCAGGGAAGGGGTAAAGGGAGGGATTGTGCTGGGAAAGGGATGGGGCAGCAAGCCAGAGGCCTTGGGGAGACTTACTGGGGTTCTTGAGAGAACCTCTCTCTCAGGGCCTCCAGGATGAGCACCCCAGCCTGATGGGCCTAACGGATGGCAGCTGTCCATGGCTGCTCGAAGACTCTCCCCTCGAGGCTGGCATTTGACCCTCACCCCAGGAGGCAAACCTCCCACTTCCTCTCCACAATGTTGTGGAGGACAGAACCTGCCACGACCACCTTGGGGATGTTGTGCTCCCCGACATCCAGGCAGGTCACCAGGCACTCGACCTGGATCCTGGCCCAGTTCAGGCGGGCATTAAATTGGTCCCTACTGGGGTCCAGGTGTCCTGTATAAGGCTTCATGAGCCATGGCTTGAGGGGGCAGGCTACATCCCTCATGATGCACCATGACATCTGCACATCCCCGACTACTCGGCGGGGGAGGAACGTGACTGCCTACAGTTTCCCATAAAGGCTAGAGTTCCAAAACACACAGGCATCATGTGCCCTGCCCGACCACCTAACACAAATGTCTGTGAAGTGTCCACAGTGGTCAACTAGGGCCTGCAGCACCATGGAGAAGTAGCCCTTTAATATACTGGGTCACTTGATCCTCCAGTGCGTGGATCGGTAAGTGGTGCGCGGATCGGTATGTGGGTTCCATCTATGGCTCCAGCTCAGTTCAGGAACCCCAGGGTAGCAAATCTGGCCATGATTGGGTCCAGGTCTCCCATATGGATGGCCCACCGCAGCAGGATTGAGTTGATGGCCCTCACAACTTGCAGAAGGAGACAAACAAACACACAGAACTAACAGAGAATGAGAAAGGGCGTGCTTCAGCCCTTGGGAGGTGCCCACCCCCTCTCCTCCCCTCCCCTTTCCCAAACACCCCAGGAGCCACCCCCTATGAAGCCACCTCCCTCAGCAGCAGGGTTGTGTGAGAGCAGGATAGCATAACCCCCTGGGCATGGGGATTCCCTCCCAACCCCACTCCATCCCCCACTGTCCCCTACTCCCATTTCCCTAGGGTTCCCCTTTTCCAGGACTCTGTCCCTCCTCCCCCACAGGGACTGCAGCCCCAGATGCCTTACCTCCATGAGGAGGGCCTGGACTGTGGACTTCCCCACACTGAACTGGTTGCCCACCGACCAGTAGCTGTCTGGGGCATCGAACTCAGATGATGATTGTGACTTGCTTCTCAGGGGGACGGCGGGCCCCAGCGGGTGTTGCATCTCTGGAAGGTGGAGACGAACCAGGCACACAACTGCAAGACGGTGGCCTTCTGCATGCGAAAGTTTTGGAAAGCTGGTCGTTCCACTGCTCCATGACCAGCCAGTCCAAACTGGTGTTGAGCCTCCAAAATTGCCTCTCCACTGAGGGTTGTGGTTGCCAGAGTGTGGCTCCCGCACTCTGGGGGAGGATCCCAAGAATGAGCTCAGGGTTGAGCTCGTGCAGGACCAGGAAGGCAGCCAGTACAAAGAGCTGCAGAAACTGCAGCATGGCCATGTGGGGCCATCATATGCCAAGGGGAAGCTCCGGCTCCATGGCACCAAGGGAGAGGCTGTCGTGTCCAAAAAAGCAAGGCAATCACAGCAGGCAGTGCAAGAGTTTTGCTGTCCCTTAAAGAGATAGGCAAGAATGCAGCAGAAGCAGAGAAATGGCTGTCCAGGGGGGTCCCTTTAAGTGCATGTCTTTGCAGGGCTCCGGCACCAGCACTCGGAAGCAGCTGGTGACCTAAAGCCCTGCCTGAAGTGATTCCAGGTGGCCTTTTATGCAAGATAGCGCTCAATCAGTCTGGACGCTAGGGCTATGTCTAGACTACATCCCTCTTTCGAAAAGAGGGATGTCAATTAGGCAGATTGAAAGTGCAAATGAAATGGGGATTTAAATATCCTGTGCTTCATTTGCATAATCGCATCCCAACGGTCTTTCGAAAAAGGGTATTTTGAAAGGTTTTTTTTTAAAAAAAAAAACGCACCTAGACTGCGGTTTCACTTTTTCGAAAGACCTCTGGACACAATTATGCAAATGAAGCACAGAATACCTAAATCCCTGCTTCATTTGCACTTTAGAAGTGCTTCATTTACATCTCTCTTTCGAAAGGGATGTAGTCTAGACGAGCCCTAACTTTCAAAAAAGCAAATCGCTTTTTCGATGGGCTTTGGCAGGGTGGCCACGCTTGTTCGGAAAAAGTTTTTTCGGAAGATCTCTTCTGGAAAAGCTTCTTCCAAAAGAAGCCTGCAGTCTAGATGTAACCTAAATGTTTTCAGGAATATTGTCTAGTAAGAATTAGTTTCTTTATCCATTTCTAGCCATTTTCTTTTTGTAAAATTAAATATTGGGTATTTTAAACCAGTTTCTTTGGTTATATTTTTTTCTTATTCTTAATATCTCCTTTTTTTTAGTGTGTTCACATACACCTTACTTCCTTTTGCCTAGATTGAATTAAAATTCTATTTAAATGTGTGCCTGTCTATAACTGATGTGATACAGTGCATAAAGACTGTCCAGTACTTAAAAGAGTGCTAGCTTAGCTTTGCTAAAACACCAGCTCAAAAATGATAATATGGAGCATTCTCTTTGATTAATCAGAATGCTCCCCTGTTTTTAATTTGATAACAAGATAAACAATGAGCATAATTTCCTTAAGATACATCTACACAGCAGAACTAAATCTGAAATAAGCTATGCAACTTGAGCTACGTCAATTGCATAGCTTAAGTTGAAATAGCTTATTTCAGCTTCTGGGGCTATCTACATAGCAGGAAGTCCAAGAAAGAGCATTCTTCCTTCGAATTCTGCTACTCATTGTAAAATGAGGGTTACAGGAGTCAAAGTAAGAAGTCCTCCAGCTCACCATTATTTTGATATGTCAAAATAATTGCTTGTAGTGTAGACACAGACTATGTTATTTTGGAATAATGTCAGTTATTCCAAAACAACACTGCTGTGTAGATGTTCCTTTAGACAATTAGAATAAACTCCTAAAACATTTTTATTTTTTAGACTAGTATATTAGTTGAGAGTATAGTTTCCCTATGATGCCTGTGTGTTAATTATACTCATATTAAGTTATGTATGTGTAAGAAAGATCATTATAGTCAGGAATATGTTCCTGAGTATGGCAATTTCACTTCCACATACTATATTACAATCTATAACAGAAGTAAGAATGTAATGGTCCTGACCAATGACACAGCTAATCAAGTCTTGGTCTCCCTTCTTCATCAAGGGGCATGGATCTGTGTTCATATCGTACTCCGCGGGAGAAGTTAAATGATCCAGCCAGTGGATCAAATTCAGTGATGCATCCTGGTCATTTGCCACATGAGGCACTTTGTGCATATGTTAAGAAGCTCAGCATTTGAGGAAGGTTCAGGACAAAGCTGGGCTGGGGGAAGTGTTGATCGGTTAACTACATCATAATAGAATTACGTGTGGGGTGCGGCAGAATTATGAGTATAACAGTTGTTTACAGTGGATTTTAGCAATTTAGTGTAATTGTGGATCATGTGGAGCAGAGAGCACATGCGGCTCTCCTAGTGTGTGTTGATTTTATAAATAAAAAGAAACAATTACTACTCTCAAGTATATCTGCATGTCAAATTCCATTATGTTGCAATTCTGCCAGTCTGTCAGTCAAGCAACCTCATCAGCGGGGTCATATGAACACAGCATAATGAGATGCTGGGAATGATCTATTAAATTTATGTTTTATTTCATTTTTCATGAATCTTTTTTTTCCAGTATGGTTCTAGAAACGTGAGTAAAGTGCCATCTGTTGTTAGAAGCTGGCACTGAGATAATGCATTTGGGGCTTGATCCAAAACCCAGTGAAGGCACTACAAAGCCAATTTCCCCTGCCATTGACATCAGCATTTTTATGTCACAAGCTGAATGGGACACACGTAGCCCACTTAATTAGCTTTATTAATGTGGGTCCTATCACTGACAGGTACTTCTTTTGCTGTTAACAAAATCTAAGATACATGCATTTCCACTACAACTCATCTGACGAAGTAGGTCTTACACACAAAAGCTCATGATTCTATATATTTTTGTTTAGTTCCCTCTAGTGGAACATGTGTTGAACAGGAACATACATACACGGTCATCTCAGGCACATGTAATAAGCTATAGAAGCCTCTCTGACAGCATCTGTCTCGGCCTGTGTTGCTCGTTATGCTTAACACATTGTGAATGGCTGCAGACTGATCAGAGCTGGTTCAAAGAAGATGATCTGTGCTAGTCTTGCCAAAAGATAGACACTATCTTCATGTGGGTTTTAATTACACCAGTATTAAGAAGCACTGACTACTCTTAAGCATGGGACTCCATCGGATCTGGAGTACTGGTGTCTTCACTAGAAGACACATAAGTCTATTTGCTTGTCTAATAATTTGGATGAGATCACCAAGATCTAAGCACTCCAGCAGTTAGTATGGCAACTGAGTTAGGCCTGGTCTACAGTAGGACCTTAGTCTAAAATTAGCCCCCTAAGGTCAAATTTGTAAGCGATGTCTCCACACTACCAAGCCTGTTATTTCAGAGTAAGGGGCTGTGGAATTCAAATTCTGTAGTCCTGCTTTTCATAAGGAATAACACTATTCCCAAACTTGTAAGCCCAAAATAACATTAGCGTGGATGTTTTGGTGCCACTAATTTGAACTTATTGGCCTCCAGGAGGCCTCCTGCAGCTCCCCAGAGAGCTTCCTGGGGCTCTGAGTCCAAGGTAGCGCATTCACATTAAAGGAGCCTGCCTCAGACTGCATTCGATTCTTCCCCGTTTTAAGGACACAGAACTTTGATTTTGTAAAATCAAGTGTCCAGAAGTCGAACTCAAGTACATTTGGACTAATCTCCTAGGGTATGTCTACACTTGCCCCCTACTTCGAAGTAGGGAGGCAAATGAAGCATACTGAAGTTGCAAATCAAGTCCAGGATTTAAATATCCCACACTTGATTTGCATGTGCCTGGCCAGTCGCCATTTTAGAAATTCCATAGCCCGGAGTAATTGCCCTCGTCTACATGCGGCAGTGAAACGGGAGTCCGATTTAAAGCCCTAATTTGAAGTAGCTGGTATTCCTCCTGCAATGAGGTTTACCAACTACTTTGAATTAAGGGCTTTAAATCAGACTCCCGTTTCACTGCTGCGTAAAGACGTGGGCAGTTACTCCGGGCTAGTGAATTTCTAAAATGGCGACCGGCCAGGAACATGCAAATCAAGTGCGGGATATTTAAATCCCGGGCTTGATTTGCAACTTCAGCATGCTTCAATTGCCTCCCTACTTCGAAGTAGGGGGCAAGTTTAGACATACCCCTAGTGTAGACATGGCCTTATTAGTTTGTTGGAAAAAAATGTTTAAAATAAAAATAAGTTAAGAATAAATATCAAGACCTATATCTACATTGGCAGTCACTTTAGAAATAGCATGGAAAACACAAATTAAAATCAATGTGTTGCATATATAAAGAATGCAAATATTAAAAAATAATTTGAAAACATACAAAGAAAAATCATTTCT